TCGGGTTCAAATTTGATAACCCGCATAGCATCCTTAGACGTCACGTGTGTACCAATAACACGCTCGCTGGGGCCCTTACGGGTTCCATGATTTCTTTTACCCCTTTTAGTATACCAATGTGTATACAAACTACTATGCACGTGCGGGAGTACTTTAAAAGTATTTGTAGACGCCTTCTGTCCGCTTGCATAGAAGTTGCGGATCCGGTGGCGTGTTGTAGCAGCTTGTGGATTGAATTATTTGCTGCTTTATACAGATAGACTGTCGTGTACTACTTGTATGGTTTATACAGGTAGATTGTAGTGCACTAACTAATCTACTGCCTTGTGTTTGTTGATGTTTGTATTCATTCTAGTAGTTTGACATTCATTCGTAGATAGTATGTAATATTCGTAGCAGAGCTCCAGCAGAAGCTCATGGGAGCCTATATCTGTTGCATTCTTTATGTACTTTATTGTGGCATTTGGCTCATATAATACATCTGTCACTGCTACAAATAGGCAGGTAAATGTATTCCTTCACAGACTGAAGTTGACTATAGGATACTGCATTTATATATATATAGAAGATCTTCGACTATAGCTACCCGCGGGTGAATGTTGTACATATATTTGTATTCGTAGAGGTTCGTATGTATTGCAGATCTTCGACATTTTGCTTGTGATCACTGTATTGGGTACACAATGGGTCTTTTACGGTAGCTTGTAGATACTTAATTGCATTCTCTGTAATTCTTTCATGCTTATTCTTAAACTATATCTTGTTGAATGTATAATGGGTCCTATGTTGTGACATGTAGGCATATGCATTTATCACTACTCTTCTATATTTGTGTATGGCGACCCTCTTACAACAACTTGTAGGTACTTATATTTATTGTAAGCATTTGGTGTTGACTACAAACAAGTCATACTCATTATATTCTTCTCAAGTGTATTCCTTTGGTGAATTACTATCTTCTTTATATGATCCAAGGTCGCATCCACTAATGGTTCCCTTTGTAAGGCATTGAACCTTATTCATATAGACTTACCGCTTAACTGATATGAGCATTTGTAAGTTTCATAATGACTATGTACAAGCCAAAGGTTCTGCAGCGCTGCATGTTGAATTCTACGCCTGCAGGAAGCAGATACTTTTACTTACCACTATCTTACTATGTGTCGTATGAGTATCTTTACATTTGTCACAAGCTTCTTATCAATGTAGTTTCTGTACATTGAACTGTCACTGATGACATAAGCACTATTGTATTCGCTTATATTCATTCACCTTGCAATTCTATTACTTGTGTATGAATCATCTTAGCATTACAAATATTTCAGCCTCCTTGGGAATAGATTGTAGTTTGCATGATGAACTTGCACATTTGATGGTCTCTTGCAATTGATTGTATATGCCTTTGAATTTTTTGTCACTTTGAAAACTTATCTTGATTGTCTTGTGAGTGAATTATGCTTGCAAGAGTTTGGCATATCATCACATTTTCTACAACCATTGTTGATTGATTGTAGATGGTCATGTAAAATGTTACAAGTCTTCTACCATCTTTTGAAGATGACTGTGACTTGTATAGATTTTTCTTTAACTTTGTCAATTAATACATACAAGAAAGTTGTATTGATGTTTCATTTAGACAATTCAAAGTCTTAAAAAGCATCTGTACTCTTTTTGTTTGATTTAAGCATTTATCATTCAAAGTTTTATCATTTAAAGTCCGGGTCTTTGTAGTCAAATTGTAAGTTCTGTTTCATATCAAAGATGAGTTCAAGTTCTAGTTCTTTGTTCAACTCATGTGAGTTCAAGTTCTATGTCCCCTGCTGTCCAAATATTGTTCAAATTCTGTTCAAATTTGAGTCTGTGTTCAAATTCAAGTTCTCTTGTTTCAAGTCCAAGCTTATGTTGTCTTTCAAGTTCATTTAAAGTTTATATTCATTTAAATCAATTGCATCAAGTCCACAAGTCCCAAATTGTTCCAAGTCCTTGTCTTATTTTAGACAAAATTTCGACAGCCTCCCAGCGTCTCCCCCGTTTAGGAGAAAAAACAAGAGGCCACCTACCCGCCACGTCAATAAAGATGTGCACGGTTGGTATTTGTGAGACACCGCGGCGGTGATTTTTTTTTTTTTATCCACCACGCCAATAAAGGCATGAGGGTTTTAAAAAATATTTTTGAAAAAGCAGTTTGCTTTTCCCCCGCCTGGTGGTACTTATGAGTGACCCCACCTCGCCGTAGGTGCCGCACCGGGGTCCCATCCCACCACGCGCAATAAAGGCGTGCATGGGCGATTTTTCGGCCCGCCGCGAACATTAAAGTAGGGTTTTTTAGGTGATTACCCGCCTAGTCGTAGGAGCCGCACCGGGGTCCCATCCCATCACACGCAAGAAAGGCGTGCATGAGCGATTTTTCGGTCCGCCACAAGAATTTGAGTTTTAGAAATATTCGTACCTTCACGGGGTTGGCAGTGTTGTCGGCACGTGGATCAAAATAAAAGGTCTCTTATTATTATTATAATTAATTATACTTAATTATAATTAAGAATAATTAATTATAATTAAGAATAATTAATTACAACTAATTATAGTTGAACATAATTAATAATAATTTAAACATAATTAATAATAAGATTTAATTAATTAACCATAATTAATTATAATTACATATAATTAATCATAGATAATTAATTATTAATAATTAATTATAATTAAATATAATTAATAATAAATTATTATAATTAAACATTATTATTAATTATTAATATTATTAATAATTAATTATAATTATTCTCTCTCTCTCTCTCTCTCTCTCTCTCTCTCTCTCTCTCTCTCTCTCTCTCTCGGCCGGAGGAGGAAAAGGGCACAGAAGAGGCTTGCGGTTGGAGAGATGGGAAGCAGTAGCGAATGGGAGAGGGCAGGAGTTCGTGTGTGTGGAAGTGTCGTTTGAGAGGATCCGAGCAGAAGCGAATGGAGGCCTCTTCGTCTCCTATTTGTCGACGTGAAAAGAGTCCGGTTCAGCGGAACTCCTGCAGGAATCGCGAAAAATCAACCGGAGCGGCGCAATTTTGCAGGTAAGCGGGATTTCTTGTGGGTTTTAGGGATTACGTGGATTTTTGCTTGATTTTGATTTTCTTTTCTCCCTTTTGATTTTAATCTTGCTGTTGAGGTCAACACCAAAGAAGGTAGGAGGAAAGGAAAAAGAGCAAGAGAAAGAGAGGGAAGGAATTTGGAGGCCAAGGTCTGGGATTCGTTCGTTGGGCTAGTTCAAGAAATTATAGTTCCAAGTAAGCTCCTAAACTCTTGTCTTTGATTTCAATTCCAGTAAGTTTATAAAAAAAAATAAACATAAATGTGTTTCTCTCAGATTTTACAAAATTTTCACCATGTGATTTTTAATATGTTATCGTATGCTGTATTATGGATGTTTTGGCAATATGAAATCATGTTTTCAACGGTCATACGAATTTCTAAGTATATAGTTGAATTAAAGCATTTATGACAATTGTAGTGTTTATGTAAAAGTCTTGAAATGTTCATGTGAAAATTCCTCTGAAAGAAGAAATTGAAAAAAGGAAAGCCTATTGAATATTATGTTCTATAGGTAAAGCCCAGGCTTTTATTGGTAATTTATATATTTTTTGTATATTGCATCTAACACTTAAATTAAATACCATTATATTGCATTTGCATTCAACATTCATGGCATTGGAGGAGTTATGTTTTGATGTATGAAAAAGTGCACTTTTTGTTATGTTACAAAGAGCCCTAGAAAAGTGTACTCTTTTGACCCCATATGTTTGGTGCAAATGTGGGAGGGGTTCTAGCCCCATTTGTAGGAAACATGTGTGGGAGGTTAAGTCATACTATAAGTACTCTTCTGATCCCATCTGACTGATACAGATGTGGTAAGGATTCTGGCCTCACCTTTTGTGTGTAGGTATGGGAAATAAAAAGAGATATAAGGGCAAGTGGAGATATAAGCAAGCATAAGGACATGTGCATTCTAGTCATGGCATTTTATATATTCATACTTCTAGTTTCTACAATAAAGTTATGACATATTCTGAGTCATGTATTAGTGAATTCTAAAATTTTGTATGAATTTTGACGGGAAGTGAAAGTGAAATACAAGTGAATCTCTAAAAATAAGTATTATGTACGACATCTGGAAACTTCTGTGAAAGTGATTATGTGGTTATAAAAGTGTTAGCCCCGAAATTAGGTATACATACTAGAATCTGGTAAATGCAAGTTTTGCTTATGTTTTATGCATTTTAAAAGCCTTTATATTTTTCTTTGATTTCCTGCTTTTAAATTAATTACTTTTAACATGTATAAACTGAGTTTTGACATCTAAGAGGGATGAAGGAGGAGTCGATTGAGGTAGTTGAACTTATTTTGTTCTTTTAATGTTTCATGAAAAAGTAAAGGCCCTGCGAGTAGATCAGGTGTATAGGCCGGATTTTGGAATCCGAATTTCTAAGATATGATTTTGTAATCCAGCATTTAATTATTTAACGTAGACTTCTATGATCTAAATTATGTAATTATGTTTTGACGAACTAAAAGTTGATTACACTGTTTTTATGTTTTTGGGAAATTTAGTAGCTCTGGTTGTTGTTATTGGTAGATGAGGTAGCTAATTATAGGTTTCGATAAATCCAATCGTGACAATAGATCTGAAGGCGTCACAAACTTGCATATTCGCTCCAACAAATACTTAGATGAAAATTATGCTGCTCAAAGAAAAACATGCATTATTATTTAAGGAATCAGATTACAAATCAGCATTAAATATTCCTAAATATAAATAATACTTAAGTGGACATAACTCTATCCATTTTCAGGACATAACAGCGGTTATCTCTATTGTATGGATATTCGGGTAGATTATTAAGAGATTTGATGAGGAACTAAGTTCCAGCAGAAAGCTAAATAAGAACATGAAAATAGCATTGAAGTTTGGGAGTGAAAATGCATAGAAGAAGGTAAAAAGGGAAGACCTGAGACGCCACAGACTTCTTTGAGTCCAGGAATTGGCTATAAATCGCGTAGAGTCTCCTCTTCTCAGTTTCTGAAACTGAGGGTCTTGTCTTTGAAGCAACAGATTTCAGAAGCATGTCATTAATAATAGGAATTCTTTCCCATTTACCAGTGGCTTCCCTGTCCAAAAGCTCGTGAACTGAAGCAAGCTGAGCATCTGACAGAAGAGCTTGAAGATCAGCCCCGCTAAACCCTTCAGTCATGGATGCTATCACTTCCAAATTGACATCAGCAGACAATGGAAGCTGAGATACCACAATTTGGGAAGACCATTAAGTTTTTATACCACGCATAGAAATGAAACAAATCTAGGATAGATAAACAGTTTAATGGATAAAAAAACTTTACTAGGGTGACTATAAAATTTGAAAGGCAAACCTTCCTTGAAAGAACTTTGAGAATGTCCAAGCGCTCATGCCATGATGGAAAATCACAAAAAAGAAGACGATCAAGTCTTCCAGGACGCAGAAGTGCAGCATCCAGCAAGTCTGGTCGACTAATTTGAGCCACACAGCGTTGTTAGTAAAAATCACAACTTGATTGCAGCATATTTGAAGTTAGCAGATTAATAGTGGGGGGAAAATACTACCAAAGGCAAAACAAGTAGTGTTTTACCAGATAAAACATAACAAAAAATGGATAAATGTGAACCTTCACCACTGATTTTACATAAAACCTTATAAATGAGCATTAAGAGCAAAGCAAAAGTGTAACCACTACAAGTCAGCCCCCATCAATGCAAGATCTAGAGAGGGTTGTTGCAACAAAGAGAATGGGGAAGACCAAATGCACAAGGTAGGGAGCGGCAGAGCAAGGAAGGCCAAGACTAGTGACAAGCGCATGTGCAAGTGAGGTTGATCGTGCGACTAGTGAAAAGAGCACTAGCATGCGACAAAAAAAGATAAATCCAAGTCAAGTACAAGGATATTGGGAAACCAAACTTTAGGATTTTCTTCTCTTCCAAAATAGAGGTGAATTTTAATGTTTTTTTTTCCAAAGTGATAAACCATAGATATAGTTGTTAATTTCCTATATAATTTTGTCGGAGTTTTAAAATTGAAGAATAGGTAATAAGAAATGATTGTACAAAAGAAGGATATTCGAGGTACGCATAAATCAACAAGAAATGTTCAGAATTTTATTGATGATATTTGAAATAATTTTAAGAGAATTGTTTTAGAGAGTTGTGGTAGCACAGAAAAATAGATTAAGAAAAGGTTTTGGGTTTTTTGCAGAAGTTGAAGTAGAATAAGGTACACCCACTAAACAAAAATTAAAAAACTTATTTGATGAAAATGGAATGTCAAAATGCCATTACATGTCGAATAGTGCTCTCTATATGTTAGCAATTTATAAGTATAAAATATTTTAGGTTGCTGGTGTGAAGGAAAATAGAGTGAAAGAACCAAGAAGTGGGTTCACAACTTGTTATAACTGAGGTATGCATTTAAATTAAAAAAATTACAAATTAATCAATGTAATTAGTAGAACCATATATCTTTGTGAAACAAGATATTTATGCTGTTGTTTAGATATGATGAAGGAATTAAATTAATTACCAAGGACATCTCATATATATGATTATAGATAACAAGCTAAGGGAAGCAGCATCTAAAGATCAATCGTTGAACTAAAAGTTAAAGTGGGCGATTATGTTTTCATCTTTATAGTAGAAAACTTTCTATATGTACACTTGACATTGTTAATATTGCTAAAAAATTCCATGGGAGAAAAGATCAAATGATTTCTTCTTTTGTTTGTATAAACAGTATCATTTTTTTAAATGTTGAAGGTAATAGCATTTTATTGAAACTTCATGCATATACAAACTAAAATGTATATAAAATATGAAATGAATGAAAGATAATATATGTGCATGATGAATGAATGAGTTCACCCATTTTATTACTAGCTTGGGATATAAAGTACTCACACACATAAAATGAAAAAAGTTTGGAAAAGTAAATGAAAATGATTATACCTTAATTGGTACATATTTTTACATGGTGCTCCTGAGAAAAGTGCTTCATTGAAAAAATAAGTTATGATAAATTCCTTACAAAATTTCATGTTTTATAAAATAAAATTCGATTTACATAACCTGAATAGATTTCAACCATAACTATTTAAATTTCTTTAAAATGAAATGCTAATGATTACTTATAATAACTTTCATGCATTTTATTCTTATTATTTAAAATTATTATATTACAGAACTATAATTAACTATTAAGTTATGTGACTCAACCCACTATAAAATTTTCATGTTTCAAGAAAGGCTCCTCTAAATTAGGGTTACAGAAAAGGATTTGTATATAGGAGAAGAAGGTTTATATTTGGTTTTATTTTAATTGTTTTAGATGTATAAAATAGAATTGATTTGTATATGCTTTATTCATGAACTAAACATATTATTCAATGAATTTTTATAATTTGGAAGATGTTTCAGTTGAATTAATTGCAATGTTAATTGAAAAGAATAAAACCACTGTCCGTCTAACTGTACCCTTGGTATTCCTTTCCGCCATTCATAGTGAAGGCAACCTAATGCTAGATCGATATCTACCTTCTAGTAAGAGTGCTGCAAAGGTTGAAGTGAAATGAGAGGTGATTTTTAGCTGCTTAATTATGAACTAGATTAAGGGTAGAAAATATTATTTTATTTTTTAATTGATTAATAGATTTTTATTAGTAAGGATTTATAGATGAAATCCTTGCGAACTTAATAGTGGTAGATGATATTAGAAAGGAAAAATCTATAAATTATAGGATTTACCCTAACACAGGCAGACCATAGGCTTCAGAATACTAAAAAAATTCATGTTTATATAAACATCTTATCCTCAATATTTGCAGATAACATCTCAAAATCCCATTTAATTAATCTTCTAGTATCTTTTTAAAAACAAATATCTAAAAATAATTTATGAATTTCCAATCATAACCATCATCAACCTTATCTCAATTCTCAACTATATAGGCCAACTTTTATGCACCTTTCTCTCCGTTAATTCTTGCTGAGCGTTTTCAAATGATTGTAAATCTAGTTTATGCAAATCCTATAAAATTTTCAGCCATATTACCTCTCATCTACCAATTTTCCATCAAATTCAATTGCATTAATTCTATTTCATCTCACTTTGGACACATCTTTTCTATCCATCATACAACCTCAAACCACCTCAACCCTATATTATATAATATCATTGTCAATGGGAGCTACTCCCACCATCCCTTAGATTCTCTTTCCCAAACAAAACAAGTTCATTTTTATAGCCTTTAACTTCAATAGATGTTACTATAACAGGAACCACAATATCAAGCACCTTTCGATGTAACTTCAATTTATTTGAGTCTTGCAACTTACAAGCATATTACCCCTAGATAGCTCATTTTCTATCCTATTCCCTTCACATTAACTATATGTCATCGCCTTATTGGTGCACCTTTTCCTCCATGTTTTACAAGTCCGCTCCAAGTAGTTTTATATTTCAGAATTATATCTTCAATAAGCACTGCTCGCAATGTCTCCTCTAGTCTCATGCCCAAAAATAGGTTATTGTGATATTAGTTTGACAACAAATAAAGGGCAATATCCATAAAATTTAAAAATAAAGAAAAGTATAAGCACCTTTCGTAATAAAAAAAATAAGTGATATTATCATGAAGCAGTTTGAACAGTTTGGAAAAACCTTGAGAAAGTATAGCCATCTAAAACATTGAATGCAACTCCCTTCCTCGAAAGTCACAACAGACAATCTCATCAAAGCAACTCATATAACAGCTTAAACAATGGTTCATTACCTCCTATCCCTTGCTTGGGGGTGAGAAGAAATTCCAGGTGAACCAAGCTTTAAAATCCTAGAGTAAAAGATCATAGTTGAACTTTTTTTAACAGGAACACTATTACTAATTTTTCCTAGCTGTTAAACAACGAAATTGCTTAAATAAATGTATTTCTCCAGCCACATAACAAATTTCAACATGTCTAAGCAATACATGTAATTGATTCAATCTCTCCATACTCCGGCAAAAAGCTTATACCCCCGAACCCTTGTACACAAGGTCACAGAGTAGAGCATGCAAAGGACAACAAGCTATCCAAGTAGATACTATTTCTTAAAATTATTAAACTAACCATCCAGTTCATGAAAGAAAAAGTCATTAGAAAACATGCAACGTATAAGTTTTTGACCAAGCAGTTTTAAAAATTTATCATAAATTCAAGTATTTTAAGTTGTAACATGCTGCATATAGGATGATAATGAACTTGATAGGTTTATCAACTTTAGCTACTGAAAAGTTAATTCACTAAAAATGGGCCAATACTGCATTTGATCAAGACCTCTCTGATCAGAATCTCAAAATGGCTCCTCTTAATTTCATACACAGCACAACAAAAAAAAACTTTAAATGATCATAATAGATGCATTATAAAAGAAAAATCAAACCACAAGGTTATAAGTTTAACAGAATGATGAGTTTCTCGGGCAAATCAGTAACATCTTTCATATATTTTTTAACGTCAAGTAAGCAGATATAGAAATAACACAGTAGAACACAGTTCCTAACAGAACAGCTGCATAGAGATCCTCAACATTCACTTCTGAAGATACGGTTAAATGTCTATTGCATATAGGCATGCTCGAAACTCAATGTTTGAGGAATTTATAAAGCCTACCTAGTTGCAGCAAAAACAAAAACCCCTGTTAATGCTTCCACGCCATCTAACTCAGTCAGCAGCTGCAAATCAATTATGTAGAAAAGGTAAGGCAGAAAATAAAACATCATTTAAAAGATAAACATCATCCATTGGCTCGGCATTTAGCACTTAAGCTTCGTTTGTGACAGCTTTTGTACTGCTTTTTAAAACTAACCTGATTAACAACACGATCAGTAACCCCTGTGTTGTCATGACCCCTCTTTGGTGCGATAGAATCAAACTCATCAAAAAACAGTAGGCAAGGTGCTGCTGCAGCTGCTTTTGAGAACAAATCACGAACCTGAAACAATAGAGTAGAATATTATTTTTCAGATTTAAGCTCTAAGAGTGAAAAGGAGCATAGAATAATTCCTGGAACTTCACTAAGGAACTCAAGAATATGACTTGTACTGCCAGTACATACACTTATGAAAATATCATTCAGGAGAAGCAGCCTTTATAAAGAACTAATACCTTGAAGGAGTTAAAAGAGGTACAAAACCAAGGTTCTTAAGGCAAAGAACTTTCTGGCCTAGGGATAAATTTAAATTCATTAAAAATTAAAACTTTGCAGGTGGATGTTACTACCCGTCTTTAGGTTGAAATAGATGTTACATCACCACTGGAAAATGAGTTGTAGATTGGCTTCAAGTCTTGCACTTATTGGTAGAAGATAGTATTTGAAGCTATCCCTCCAAACTATTTTAATTTTTTTCGCACAATTTCTCTGATTGTTTCAAGACCCATCAAAATCTGAAACAATCAAACATGCAAGCACATAAACGATAATCAAATGTACAAACATGTCATACTTACACAATGGTTGTTGCTCGTCCATCATTTGTCCAAGTTTGTTCTCAAAATTTGGAACTAATTAATTTTTCTCAGGATCTCAAGATTACCCTCCATATCCCTACGACCTTTTCAAACATGACTTATACATATTTTGCAAGCAAGATAACAAAATTTGATTATTAGATTATGGCAGCTCCCCCTGCCCTCTTCTTTCAATCAACCTTCAAGCAAGGAAATCTAAATGATCTTTTCTGTTTTCATATATTGTTGGATGTTTTATCCTTTAACTTCTTGCTTTAATTTTCCATTGTGACCATTCATGGCAATTGTCATTGTTGTACTCATATCATTTTCTTGTTATAAAATTACATTTTCTTTAAAAAAACCTTTATCACTTTGGGGTAAAAGTTACACACCATCAAATGCATAATAGAAGGGAAGTATCATAAGTACATTTGAAAACTATTGTACAAGTTCATTAAATAAAACTCAAAGCTCTTATTTTTCACAAGCACCTGAGATAGGTATCACTTTTATCAACAACTTATAATAGGGCAAGTTTTAGGATAACATACTGTAAGTAAAATTAAATTAATAAAACTATGGAATGTTGCCTTTAAACAAACGGTTAAAAATTATGCAGCCTTCAAATCAGTACTAATAATGATATTGAATTTTAGTTCAACTTTCACTGACCATTCTTTACTATAAATTTACAAATAATCTTTAAAATTATAGTTAAAATCTTTACAATAATTATCAAATGTGGGCATGCATGAGCCCAAACATGGAGAAAGCTGGTTTTTATAAACTAGATCTCATGCATCATTTTGAACATCCAAAGAACCTTGACATCGAATCCATGTTTTTAGTAGGATCGCATTTTACCTTACCTACAACTCTACCTAATTTAAGCTCTAGCCCTTCCACAACAACAAAAAGCAGCACAACGCTATGTGATTCAATTTAATCGTGCTAAATTTTCTTCAAAGTTGCTTAATTTGTGCATTCTTAAGAATAATTTTCATGTTTTGCTCATTAAATTATTTGTTTATATTCATGCTCATGTCGATCAGCATTGATCTTAATAACAGCTTTACAACCCATTTGCAAGTTAAACATCAAATTGTCCAAGTTGTACGATTTTGCCAAAAAAATTCAACAACACTTACACTGTCGCTCAACCCCCCTCTCGAGCCTATCCCACCCAAACCAAGAAATGAGAGCATGGCGATGCATGAGACAACCAAGCATATTTTTGGCATCTATCCTCCCTACGACAAGAAAGGTTAGCATAGGTAGTGTAGCATAAACAATGAGCTAAGAGCCATCCAACTCAAGCAAAAAGAGGTGGGCATGAATTTTTTAGACTCAACCTACCCATAACAAAATGACTAGCACAAAAATTTTGAGACAAATCTAACTTGCAACAAGAAAGGCAGGCATACAAATTCAAAAGACAATCCTACTTAACACCTAACATAGTAATAACATAGACGACCACCACAACCTGTTAAGCTAGTCGTGGATGACTGGTTCTAGCCAATCTTAGCTATATATACAGGAGAAATATGCATACTCTCACAAGCAAGTGGACGAGGTTAATTCACTAAAAGAAGAATCTGTCACCAAAATTCAGCAAAATTCGCACTAGGAAACATACACAAGAAGTTTCCTATAGTACTTCATCTTTCAGGTAAGATTTCATAATTTTCGAAAAATCGTCTTTCTCTTCACCTCTCATTGTAAGTAATGTTGGGGTGGTGTGATCAACCTCTGTGTAATGCAGACAAAATGGTTTCTTAAGGAGGAAAAAAGGATTTTTAAAGATTATTTTTCTTATATTTATGATATTGCATGTCACCAAGTGTGGGCATATATAGGAATGGGTGTCACCTTGCATGCCCCTACATGGGTAGAAACCATCAAACCTTATGGAGCTCAGGGATTCATTCTATGAACGCTTGATGACATAGAGGGGCTATCGACACGTGTTGACTTGTTGGACCACAAGCACTCCTAGTTGCATCAACAAGGGTTCCCTTTTGAGACCATAAATCGAGTTAGCCAACCTAAGACAAAGCTTGATTCTGTTATAATCTTCGGGATCAAACCGGTCCAAGGTTTGTTCCTAAGCAACCAAACAACCCCCCCCCTTCTCGCGTGCTTGTTTCTCCCTACCTCCAATCATGATAATCACAGAACTTTGCTCATCTCGTGCGTGATTCTCCCACTCACATCTTTCCTCTTGCCATTTAAGGAAAAGAGGAACCTAGGGCATCATTCCTATCATCTTTCTCACAACCACCATGCACCTTCTTCCCCTTCCTCTACCGCTGTCGAACCTCTCTCCCGACAACAACTTACTTTCTCCCGACAACAGTCATCAACAAATGTTTCTCAAATATCCTCTCCTTCTATAGTGGGTTTCTTTCCTTCTCTCTTTCTTCTCTTTCTTTTTCTTATGTGTCGAGTCACCTAGTTAAGAGTTCTTTCGTGTTTAATGCGAAGCTATATTCAATTGGTATTGATTTTTATATAGCCTGAAAGTACTAGTATGTTGGGCTTTTTTGATTGTATATAAAAATTCTTATTTATGATTGATGATTCAAGTTGATAAAACCCTAGGTAATCATGATCTTTGCATTGTATTGTAGATATTTTCCTATTTATTTAATTGTTGGGAGAGATCTTCTAAAGTATTGATAGCTTGATGTGATTAGGACTATAAGGTTAACAACATTTTTGCAATAGTTAATATTAGCATTGATGGAGTAGCCTAGTCAATCAACTTGGATGCTTTGAAGTGCGTGCATATAACTATTTAATTCTTCTTTTTATAGGACTTTCGCTTAGCGGAAACATGCAACCCGTAATCGGAATTGGATTTCGTGTCAATCAAAGTAAGTCACTGTTATTTATTATTGAATAAACGTATTCTTCTTTGTCAAGGGCGATATCCTTATTACTCAAACTATGTTCATTAATTTTATAAGTTAGCAGTCGTATATTAAATTCTCAATTATAACTATGCGGTAATAAGTTATCAGTAAGTCACTGTTATAAGTTACCTTGAATTATATTACACAAGCTCTTATTCAGTTGCTTTGTATACCTCTCGATCCATTTTCATAACATAAAATCCATTCATAGTGGATCTTCCCACATTTTTAAACTATGCTCCATTACTCTCCCCTAAAAATTCATTGTAAATTTCATAAGTTTGATTCCTCAATAATTATTACAATTCTAAATCATACATCATAAAAGCCCTAAACCAAATAGACCAGTAGCCCAATAAACTATTCAGGCAAAACAATTCTTTTGTTAGAATTTATGACTTGCTTTTTTACCTAGACCTAAAGACAATATAAGAATTTTTGGCATTTGGTTTATGGTGCAGGTGAAAGAATATATATATTCATATATCTTACAGCTTGCTCTGAAGCACCAATGTATTTGTTGAGTAGCTCAGGCCCTTTAACAGATATAAATCTAAGAGAGCAAGCAACTGCAGCAGCTCCTATAATGTGAGTTTTTCCACAACCAGGAGGCCCATACAATAGCACATTTGATCTCATCCTCAACGGTGAATGAGCAAAGATATTTGGGAACTTAGAAGGCAATTCGATCATCTGCAATTCAAAATTACATAAATTTAACATTAAAGATAAAAATGGAAACGGTGATAATTCGAAAAATAACTTCAAATAAAAATGATATTCATTATTGATGTATCCAATTATCAAAAAATAAAATGCCAGTTACCATTTACTTCTTTGCCACAAAGTAACATCAATATGGGCTTAAAGTTGATCCTTGATGTAATCCAAACAACAAGCCTTTCTTTCACTATGTGGGGTCGAATACATGAATCTTTTTTCTTCATTGTGTCATATTAAAAGTCAAATTCTCATCTAAATCTAATAAAAAAGGTCATTTCTAATATTTTCTAAACAAGTCTTTTTAGGTCTGACTCTTCCTAAAATGAAATAAGAAAATACTTGGTCAAACCACCATGTATTTGAAAATAAATAACAGCTCTTACATATATATATCCTTAATGACATGAATATAAGAATTATAAGCAATGTAAGAAAATGAAGAATTATAATAGTAGATAAAATTAGCATCAGGGCATCAGGAAAAATAATGGGCCTAAGGTTATATGGAAAAATTGCTAAAAATGATTTATAATAGGCTAAACATCATTGACAGCATTTGATATAAAGAATGAGCTTCATAAAGCCAACCCCATATAGTTGGGATAAAGACAAAGATACCGACACTTAAACCTCTGCAAAATGCTACATGCCCAACACCCCCCCCATCGATTTCTCTCCCATACGTGCACATATGTGCATGCATGCACACACAAAAAACAGCACAATAGGAATGAATAAACAACCAAACTAATAAAAATAGTGCTTCCAATAAGTGCGCTGTTTCCTTTCTTATCCAGCTCACTTCTGCTTAGCAAGCATTTATTCAAGAAACGAGATGGTAGAAACTTTGCAGTAAACATCATGGTGTTAAGGACGGAGACCTTCAATGAACAAACATAAGAAAAGAAAGAAACCATATATTAAGCACTTACTAGATTTTCTGAAATCCTGGCCATGAATTACATTCAATACATCGATTTTCCAATGCTTGAAAATACTTACCACTTGCTGAAAAAATTCAAAATTCAGGTTTCCATAATCCTGCCCATCCAAGAATAAATCGGTTTAAACTCCACAGAGCACTCATACACATGGAAAGGCACACGAGAATCCCGCACTTAAAACTTCTGCATGTAACTTCTTCCGGTGGTAGATTTCAACCACACCTCCAAGTGATAGGTTACCCCAAATGATCCTAATTATAATCATTCCAATGCTAATTCTAATCATTTCAGGGATAGGAAACTTAAACCATCAAAACTAACACACTACAATAGTGATTTCATTACTCTACAATAACAAAAACAACAACATCAAGCATTTATCCCACTACGTGGGGTCAGCTACATGAATCATTTGGCTCCATTGTGTCCTGTTAAGAGTCAAATCCTCATTTAAATCTAATAAAAAAAAGTCATTTCTAATATTTTCTAACCAAGTCTTTCTAGGGCTACCTCTACCTTCTTAATATAGGCCAAATCTACTATATCTATACTCCTAACTGGGTCATTAGAAGGGCAACATTTTATGTGACCAAATCATCTAAGGCGACTCTCTCGAATCTTATATGTCACCGGAGCTACTCCAACCTTTTCATGCATAAACTCATTTCGCATGTCTCGAACAGTGAAGCCACTCATCCTTTCACAAAAAAAATTGCAATATAAAAAAAAGATCTAGAAAAAGACGACAACAAAATTGACTATTCATAAGTTATGAGATCTGCTTTCTCTAGAAGATATTTTCCATACAACATTCAAGGATAGTAAGGTGATAACTTTATAAACCTCTTGAATGGCAGTTCGAATGTGGCTAAGTCCACCGATATCTTCCCACCCATTGCGCCCACCTTCAACAACAGCCTTTGTTAACCCACGCATGGAAACCGGAACAAAGTCATGCAGTGCTTCCGAAAAATCATCCTTTATCAAAACAGGCTTTTCAGGCTCCGTATCATTGAAAGCTAATGAATGACTAATAGCAGCATGCACAGCACGATCAACCAAAATTTCCTGCAAAAAATCATTTGAGTACCCAGTGCATGAAGCTACTGACACTACATCAAGAAGGCAATGACGAAAAAAGACAGCAATGTATTTTTTATGCACATGGCATTTACAGTTATACTGAATTCTTCACAGTAAATGTTTGAATGTGTTGAGCCCTTAAAAATTGAATACACGGAACCACTTAAAAATGTTGATTGTCAAGAACAAAATATCCAAGTTGATTTCATAATAAGCGCATTAAATATAAACTTGAATATAGCACTACTCAAGCTAGATGGGGTAAAGAGGATAATTATGAAAACATAAACAAAACAGCCAAAAATATATGAGAGAGTCGCCTCTTGCAGAGCTTCTTTTAAATTTATTTAATTGCATCTGCACTTGGTTTGAAGTTACTGAGTCAAGTATCTGCAGCAGATTATTTTAATAAATACTGCAATAAACATTGTATTGCGTATACCTTAAGAAAAGAAAAGGAGGCTACATTTTTCGTGTGCCTAGAAGAATTAACAATTAGTACTGTCCAATCTTACATAAAACAAAAAGGTGAAAAAAAAGGAATTGTCTGCATTGCAGTGTGCTTGTGTATAGAAAGTGCACGTCAAACAGATGATGCAAATAAAAAGCTGACGAATGTGCCAAATAGTGCATTTCAAATCACAGCTGTGCGGGAAAAAGATGAAGGCGTTTAAATGTCAACATCTGCAAACCTATCCATCATAGGAAGGAAGATCATCAGAGGTAATCAAATCAAAATTTTAAACTATCTACAAACTAATGCGTTAGCAGTACTACCATACTAAATGTTGAAATTTTCTCCAAATTAATGGAGTTAGCAATGGGGCATGATCAATGAACATCATCAATGGATTTCAAAAGTAACGTATAGTAAACCAACAAACATCAAGTTTTAAGCTGAACAAAACAAACCCAAAAGTTCACAAGAAGAAAGGCCCACGCATGGCAAGATAGCTGTGCAATCAAAGCTTGCAGGACTAACTCAATGTCTTACAGAGGAGCAAGAAGTTGAGAAAAACCCCGCAGCAGCCACAAACCACAATTTCTTTTTTTTCCAATTTTGGACACACTAATGAAAGCAAATAGGCAGAAAGGATTTGCAAAGCTTCATCTAGTCATCTATTCTGATCTTCTCACGGGCATTGAGTTTGTTCTGATATGCAAGGATTTAAATCTTAGACCAGATGTTTGTAATGAGGTTCTATATTGCAAAGAAGAAGATGAGGGAGAAGAACGCATAAGGTTGCTAGAAATATAGAGGAAGAAGTCCTGGACGAAGCTGCAGAGAGAGAGAGGCGGCCTGAAAGGATTAGGGTTCAAAGAACTAGCTCTAATACCATAAAAAATTTCTTAATTGATTAGTCTTATTGTTCAAAAGGTACTACATCTATATATATGCTAAAAGAGTACCTAATAAAGGAAATAATTAACTAGCTTAATTCCCTCCTAAATTTTAGAAAATAAAATCATAAGAGAATGATTCTTTCCTAAAATTAGGAAACATAATCATAGGAGAAGATCACAATTGATCTCTCCTTTTATTCCTAAAAATATTTTCCTAAAATAAAAACATAATCATAGGAGAAGATCACAATTGATCTCTCCTTTTACTCTTGAAAATACTTTCCTAAAACAATTTCCCTAACTTTTGACTTTCAAATATTCAACCGTTTATAATATTTAGTAGCATAAAAATTGGTTTTTATATTGATAAAAAAAGGCCAGTTAGCCTTTGAGATGTTAAATAAAAACACACCAACAACAAAAATTGAAATAGAAGCATACACCTCATTATGTGTGCCTTAAGGTGCACCTCAATTGTTTGAGGATTATCATGCTTCTCTCAGTATAAGGTTATAACCTCAAGGCGCTTCGCATGCACCTCTCCCTAAGGAAATACTCAAGGCACATATTTAATTGCACAATTTTAAACAATAAAAAAGAGAGCTTGAAAATAAAACTAAACCAGGAGATCATTGTTGGTGACACCATATAAGAGCAAGTATAAGTCAAGCTATTGATCATGCTGTCTAGGCATCTTTTTCAGTTGAATCATAAAGAACTCTTACAAAGATCCTAACAGCAAATATAAATATCAGTAAGCCTGCACAATTCATTAAATATTATTAGCACTGGGAGAAAAGAATACCAAGTCATATGCGTCAAAACCATCACATTTGGAAGCAATCTCGGAAATTATATCCTCGGAACAATGTAAACCACGCTTCAGGATTTCATGCTTCAGTATAGCTCCTCTTTCAGACACAGCAGGGGCAGGTAGCTCTACATGGAAATCGAACCTCCCTGAAATTAAAATGCTATTGGGTTATTAATCCAAAGAAAAAGAGTAACTGGTAACGTCTACAAATGCTATGGTAATGATATGCAGCTATTAAACATTGAATAAGGAGCAAAATAAAAGAAAAGGAACCATGAGAGTATAAGGATCAACCAGAAGATGTTAATAAGTGAGGTAGCTTTCCAAGAGACTGAGCAGAAGCCACGAAAGCAATGCTGCCATATCCACAAGAGTTCTGACAGTTTTCCTGATTAGAACGATTGAAAAAACACATGATTTAAAGAAAATTGTTAAATTCTAAGAATTGGAGAGGGAAATGGCTTTTTTTTTCATCACACAAAACTATCTCTATTTGTAGATCTATACAAATTAAGTTAATAAAGAAACAAATAAATACAGAATCATGCACAATTACCCTAATATAATCCTTCCTAAATCAGCCACCCAAATATGGAAGAAGATCGGCGTGATCCAGGTGAGCCTCCCACAGATCTTCATCCTAGCCGTGGGATCAAGGGCCAAGGGATGGTTGAGATTTTAACACTCCTCTTAAATTGAGGAATACATATATGTCATTCTCAGCTTGGTAATTAGTCACCACAGAGTCCTCCATTTGGTCAAAACTTTGGGAGTCAAACATTACGTTGGCAAAGGGTAGCAACGAAGGCTAAATTGGTTATAGATAAGATAGCAACCACAAGGGAAGGCCGACAACGAAGGCACGACAATAGGAAAAAATATGTTTTTAAGTTTGTGGCAAGCTTCAAGGATCGCAGCAGAAAAACACGTATCAAGCGGCTCAGCACATGCTATGCAAATCTCCTCCCGTTGATCGAGCCAACCTTCAGCCCAATGCAAATCAATCATCTGACTCCACCCGAACACTCCCGTTTGATCGACCCTGTACAGGCGCGCGCAAGGCCTTTGATCCCTCTGGTCTGATTGCAGGAAGGATGCAGGTCTTGCACTTTTGCTTGTCCTGGCCCTAGTCCCTCACGAGAGAGAACTCTCAACTCTTTCAATACACACTCAAGAGGTTTTGTACTCGACTTCTCTTGATTCTGCTCAGTTGACATTGGACTTTGCATGCAACAGGAGCCCTCCCGCTCGATCTATCCTCGGTCTTGGACGCACGAAGGAACCAGGACCAATATTCCTTAAAATTTCTGCAATAAAGGTTGGTGGAAGGACTAGTATTTCTCAAAATTTTGGTAATGAATGTCAGTGGTGGGAACCTATATTCCTCATAATTCTAGTAATGAAGGCTGGTTGTGGGAACATGTATTCCCTAATTCATGCTCGCTCCTCTTGATCCTCTTCTTCACTTATTTGCCCCCTAGGTAGGCACACACGAGAGACGCATGTAGAAGACCGCAAAGGGGAAGCCCTCCACTTGTTTGGCTGCCCTGGACGCACGCGAGAAAGAACAGAACGCAAGAAACAGCTCTCCCTCTCTCACGCTCTTGTTTTTGAAGAACTGAATGCCTTTCTCTAATACCATATTAAATACAGAGAATTGTAGAGGAAATTTATAAATCTATACAAGATATCTTAATAAAGAAACAAATAAATAATCATGCATAATTGTCCTAATATAATCCTTCCTAAATCAGCCGCTAAAAGATGGAAGGAGACCGACATGATCCAGATGAGCCTCCCACAGATCTCCATCCTGGCCGTGGGATGGTTGGAATTTTAACAAAAATAAATTAAAAAAGAAAACAATGTGGGTAAATTTTCTTACTAGAAAAAACTTTAGAGGTAAATATCACATCATGTGAAGACTAATTCATGGAAAATTCAAATGAACTCCTTACCCTGTATTCATCCATAATGTCTATCAAAAAATTAGCCAAACCAGTGACAGAAGTGGAAGTCTGTAATCCCTCAGAATCAGATGAGAACGAAATAATATTATCCAGATCATCAAAAACGATAATGGAAGGGGAATGAACTAGAGCTTCAGAAACATAATCTGCAATTGCTTGCCGAATTGTTTGACTCTTCTCAAGAGCAAGTTTTGAGCAGCCAATAAATACTCTGCAATTGAAAATTTATCAGCTATTTCGTTGATCATTAATAAAATAAATAGAAACATACAAAAGAAATTAATAAAACGCAAAGATCAAAATGAGCATAATTCAAAGCATACACATGGGCTAAGATTTCTGCATGCTCTTCCAAATGTTTAGCAATAGCCATGACTAATGTAGATTTTCCAGAGCCCTGACAAACAGGAAAAAAATAGTAAGGATAGACCTTAGTAAACGCCTAAACCTCTATTAAACAGCAGCTAGAATTTTTACGACTGTGCGTATGAATACATTTTTTGCATAATATTTATAACAAACAGAAAAACTGCTTATGAATGATAAGAATGAAGAGTTCATAAAAATAGCATTCAAAAAGCGTCATAAAAGGAGGGAGCTTTCAAAGGCTTCAGCTTACATCCACGAAAGTGCTGATATGATCCCAGGATCAGACAAATGACAAAAAATGATTGCAACGAGCTCTCCTTGTGCCATTACTAATATTGTCTCCTAATCTTCATCAATTATTTTTAGCCGTATCCCAACTATTAGTGTTTTCGTTATGCATCCTCTTTTTTTTAATTCATTCTCATTGATTGCTAAATGAGAAGTTTTACTCTATTATGCTAGTTTTTATTTATTTTTTCACAATTTTAAGTCATGTTGCCCTTGGTCTATCTTTTTTCTTCTTAATTCTTACATTAACTCATTCATTCACCTCAATTTTATAACAATTTCAATCTACAAGATATTGTCCTATGGCAAGTAATCTTAAGCTGCCTCTCAACATTAAACACAAAACTTTAGCTATAGAAATTAGGTCATATATATCCTTTTGTATAAAACAAACCTAATAAATTTAAGCTATTACCCCTTTGTATTACTTCATCTTCCAAGAATGATAATTGAATTACTAATTTCCCGGGAACTAAAATTGCATAGCATGAACTCAATTTTTGTTCGACCAATCGTAACCCATAAAGAATACTAAAGGGTTGTGTATCAAATTTTGCAATACATAAAAAAATCATGGATAGGGACAAAAAAATCATGGACAAGGACTATACTTGAAGAAGACTTCAATTAGAGACAGTGAAGTATTTACTGATGTTGTTGGGCCAAATCAACAACATACTGAAGATCAATTCTATACTTATGGGTGGGAGAACTGCATTACTTGCAGAGCATGAAACAGTTGGCAGTAGGGAAAAGTTGATTATTAGTTATTTCCAATAGAATATGTGAAGGAATGTGACCAAGTAAACTACTTGAGAAACGAGGAATGTCAACTGAAAAATCTATGAAGATGTCATGTGATAATAATGTTGCCATAACTATCGAAAAGAATACAGTAGAGATCAATTATCATTTCATCACAGAGAAGTTAGAAGGGCTCATAAAACTTTATAAATGTCCACAAATATTAAAATGAAAGATAATCTTACAAAGTTATTGTCAACTGCCAGCTTTGAAAATTTGAAGTCCAAACTAGGATGATTAACATCTATATAACCCAGCTTGAGAGAAAGTGTGGATATCTATTTATCTCCCTTCCATGTATGGAAGAATATGAAAATTCACCTGGAAAGGATTTTATTTTAGAATATTGGGAGATTTTGGAGAATGGTTCAAATCTCTTTCCCTTCATTTGTTTCACATTTCTCTTATGCCATTTAAGTAGTTTTAATTGTAATTAGTTGTTGATTTTGATTATTTAGCCACAAAGCTGCCTCTTGCCTCATGCATCGGTGAGTACCAGAAAAATGGAGAAATAAATCTTCAACTATCTCCAAATTCAACAATGATACATGAAAACTAATTCGATCAAAAAGTTTTTCAATAAAATAAGCTTAATAAATGCATCTCAATAAACATGAGTCATTTCTACCATTGAGGTTCCATTTGATATAATTTATTGCAATTAATGCACATCTAAATTCTTCATGCATTATTGCATATCTGTAGTTTTATTCCATTTGACCCTATAATCTAAATTATTCATTCTCTTAAAGACACGGTGAACATCAATTTACAAAGCTAAGTGCACTGGATCGAAACACGACTCAAACTTGTTTGATCAAACGATTAACTTTATATTGATTAAATAGATATGCTAAAACAAAAAATAAGAAAGAGGCCAAGAACAAATCAAGCATTTCGCAAACAGATTCAAAAGTTGACAGTTAAATGAAATGTGTTTCCTAACTATTATTCATAGCGGCTCACATCCTAAATTCGATCAGCAAAGGTACCCATTTTAATAGGTTTGTTTAAGTTTGATTCTTCTATAGTTACCATTATTTTAAGCATCTTCTTCATTCCACAAAAATGTTTCTTGTCCATTAATTCAACATCATCTTAATCATTTGAATCCTTTTATAAATATTATTAACCAATCTAGTTTAATAACGCTCATAACTCTCTAAATCTAAATAAATACTGCATATGATGCTAAAACATCACTAATATGCAAATTCTGAACTGTTAACTTCACACTTGTTGAACACTCAATAATGTACTTCATGATTCTAGAAGTTATGGGAATCCAAATAAATCCCTAGTTCTTTTAAATTGTCCATCAGCTAAAGCTCCTATTAACCTTTAACAGCTCAAGCGAACTCTTCAAAGCCTAGTTGTTTAATGAACCAAATGTATGCCAAAAATACAATTAGGAGTCAAACGTAAGGCTTTCGAAAAAATTAAGGATGATTCAGCAAGTGTTATTAAAAAGAGGACAAAATACAATCCTCCAAGTATAAATATTATTAACTACTTCGAAGTAGAATTGATGTAAAACAATGATGATGAACAAGAATTGCTTTTAAGAAATTAATAAATTGTGAACTTTGCTTGAATAAATATACACGGATGCTTCTTCAAGTTAGATCTTAGAAAATTCCATGAAAAGACTAAGTATTGGCAAATGATTTTACAATTGAGATTACTAGGATACTTGCAAAATAACAACAACGAATAAATGAGTAAAACAAACGGCAAGGTAACAAAATCCACAATTTAATAATTAGATCGTTCACCTTGGGATCCCTCACTCACACTCTTGAAAGTGATTGACTTAGCGGAAGAATGTTGCAAGCAAACTTAGAGACGCCACTAGAAGACATGTGATGCTGAGGGTGCTAGTCGTCGAGGAACGAGTCTGATAGGAAACACTTGTAGATCGCAAGTATTTCCTATCAATATTCTAAAAACAACAAGAATTCTTCACAAAATCCGCACAAAATCACAAAAACAGTAGATAATTTGTATTATTTGATGAAAGGAACACGAAAAATAGCAAGATACACTTGATCCTCAATTCGAGAGGATGATCGATCTCTCCCAAATCTCTAGACGCCGCTAGAGCCCAAAGAAAACCAAAATCTAAGAGAGATCAAATTTCAGCCAAATTCAAGATACCCAAACCCTAGGAAAACAAATTATTTAATGCATACAAATCAAAAGGAAATCCCTAAATAGTCCCTATATTCAAATTTCCCTCACAAATCCCTAAAAAATCCTTCCTAAAATGACTCTCGTGGACCTGCGGCTCGCACGACATCCGCAACAGGCGGAGTTTTTCTCCGTTGTTTCGCGTGTTTCGCGTCTGGGCCGGTCCCGCATGGATCGGCTGGATCGGTCCACTGGACCGGTCTAACAATACTCCCCTTCCGAAGATCCACCTTGTCCTCAAGGTGGAGATATGCTCGTGTTCTGGTGCATGTGGCCATCCTTGAGGTGGTTGAAAATCCTTACCAAATTGCTAAAGTAGGGGTTGCCCTGAAAGAGAAACATCCCCTCCCTCCTCCGTCATGATCACATCCAGCTTGTGTAGTCCCACCCGATAAGCTTCCCCCACCTCTTGTAGGCTCCTAACCATGGTCTTATGTGATACCATGGCTGTGGATAGCCCTGCATCTCCTCTTATAACCACATTTCTCCCATCCACCATTAATTTCATCGTGAGTGCTCCCCAATTGTCCTTGGTTTCCCCCAAGGTTTGCAACCATTTTATTCCCAGGATGACATCAGTACTTCCTACCTCTAGTGGGAGAAAATCCTCTCTTACCTGAATCCCCTGGATGGTCAACATCACTCCTCTACAGATCCCATGGCCATTCTCCACCATCCCTATACCCATCATCACTCCATAACAACCGGTGTCCGCCAATTTCACTCCCAGTTGGTTGACGACCTGAGTAGAAATGAAACTATGGGTAGCCCCACTGTCAATCAAAACAACCACCTCCATGCCTGTTATTTCCCCCTTCACCTTCATCGTATGATTCAAAGTGAATCTTACTACTGAATTCAAGGAAACCTCGACCAGATCCAAAAACAACTCCTCCATCTCTTCCTCTAACTCCCCATCACCTCCCTCTTTAGTTTCCTCGTCATCACAGACGGTGAGAACCTGAAGAGTTCGGTCCTTACACCGATGTCCTGGAGTATACTTCTCCTCGCATCAGAAACAAAACCCCTTTGCCCTCCTCTCCTGCATCTCCTTCTCTGTCAACCTCTTGAAATTTTCCCCACTCCCTCCTCCTACTGACTTCTCCCTGGTGGTCTCATTAATGTTGCCTGATACAGGCCCCTTGGGTGCTAGAAGAGTGGTTGTCGTCCTGTAAGAGCCTCCTGAGTTGTTGCTCCTGGCTCCCTTCTCTAGATTCTTCTGATTTTCCACCAGCTGGGCCAACTTCATGGCCTCCCCCAAGTCACAAGGCATCAAAACCTTCACTGTTGCTCGGATCTCTGCCTTCAACCCTTTTATGAAATTCCTCTCCAACACTGTATCTGAGAGTTGCTCCACCCTGCTAGCTAGGTGCTCAAACTGCTTCAGGTAATTTGCTACTGATCCCTCCTGTGTCAGAGCAAAGAACTGCTTATAAAAGCCTCCTCCCCGATCGGTTTGGAAACGCTCTATTATGCAGTCTTTAAATTCCCTCCAGTTCCTGATCGGCCTCCTCTGGTCTCTCCACTGAAACCAAGACAGGGCTTTCCCTTCCAAGCACAATCCCACTATTGTCATCTTCTCCTCCTCTGTCAACCCATTGACGGTGAAGTACTGCTCTACCTTGTAAATCCACCCATACGCATCTTCTCCTTCAAATATGGGCATCTTCAACTTCCTCACCTTCTGGTCGCCACCATTTCCCCTGATTCTTCCATAATTTCTCCATTCCCAAGTGCTAGGTCCACCCCATGTTTCATGATCTTCCCTTGCTCTGCCATAGCCCAAACTCCCTTCGAGATTCACCCTTCTTTCTTCAAAATCAGCACCCCGACGGCCGTAAAACCCCTCATAGCGTTCCCAATCAGCCCCTCTTTGCTCCGCTCCCCCATAGCCATACCTTTCCCCATGTCGATCTCCTCTTTCCTCCCTATGGAAAGGCTCCACATAGGGTCTTCTTCTTCCCCCTTCCACGATTTGCACCTCTTCTTCCTCCTTACGAATTTCAGAATTGGTGTTCTTCGCTTTTGGGCCCTTCGCTTCGAATGCCGCCATTTGTGCTTGAAGCTCCAGCATTCTTTTCATCATATTCCTGAGATCGGCCACATGCCCCTCCATGGAAGAAATTCTTTCCTCGGTTTCTTTGATGTGATTCATCTCTCCTTCGAGTCTCTCCTCCAAAGCATCAACTTTCTTGGCCGCCATTACAATTCGGAGTTTGTATATTTACAAAATTTGTATTTTGGAGTCAAAAAACAGCAACTTTCTTCTTTTCCTGGGAAAAAACTGCTACTGGAATTTGCCGAAAACAGCCCTCCACCGGTCCCAAGACTTGCTCTCATACCAATTTGATAGGAAACACTTGTAGATCGCAAGTATTTCCTATCAATCTTCTAAAAACAACAAGAATTCTTCACAAAATCGGCACAAAATCACAAAAACAATAGATAATTTGTATTATTTGATGAAAGGAACACGAAAAATAGCAAGATACACTTGATCCTCAATTCGAGAGGAGGATCGATCTCTCCCAAATCTCTAGACGCCGCTAGAGCCCAAAGAAAACCTAAATCTAAGAGATCAAATTTCAGTCAAATTCAAGATACCCAAACCCTAGGAAAACAAACTATTTAATGCATAAAAATCAAAAGAAAATCCCTAAATAGTCCCTACATTCAAATTTTCCTCCAAAATCCCTAAAAAAATCCTTCCTAAAATGACTCCCATGGACCTACGGCTTGCACGGCATCCGTAACAGGCAGAGTTTTTCTCCGCTACTTCGCATGTTTCGCGTCTGGGCCGGTCCCGCGTGGACCGGCTGGACCGGTCTAACAGAGTCGGAGTTGGAGGAACAGGTGGTCATCCGATGATCTTCACTCTCCAATAGGGCTTTGTTCGTCGATGGCGTCCACTAAGTGGGGGAAGATACGATCAACGTATTCCTTGACGGTGCTTTTGGATCCAAATCCGGGGTCAAAGAATGATGATTGGATGACGTCAATCACCCCTTGAGAATTGAGAATAAGCCCGTGATCAACTTCCAGATCGGTCATACATGATCATGGAAGGGTTTGGTGTGTCATGGTTCAGAGAACTTGCCGGTGGTGAGAGGTTGTGGAGGAGGGGAAGGTGGGGATTCAGGTTAGTGGGGAAGGGAAGAAAAGGGAGGGGGGAATTCTTAAAATCTGAAATTAACTCAGATTTTACTCAATGAGAGGGAGGGCTTAATTTTGAAATTCAAAATTAAGCCAATATAGGAGGGGACGGCGGTTAGGAAGATATTAGGGAGGATTAAGTGGAGGCAATTAATGAAATAGGAGAGAGAGAGAGAGAGAGGGGTGGGATAGGTGGCCGGACATGTAGAGAGGAGGAGAGGAGGTTTTGGTTTAAGTAAGTGGGCCCCAAAATTAATTAACAATTTGAATTCAAATCTGAAATTTATTTCAGATTTTTATTCATAAGGTTTCGTAATTTAAGTCCAAGCATTTAGAAAGTAGTTAGATCCCAATATTTGATTGAAATACCAATCGGAAACTTTCATAGATGTCTTGAGCTTATTTTAGGAAGGTAATGAATTCCCTTTTGAATTCAAAATTCAAAGGGAAGTCCAGGGGGTTGGCGGGCTGGGCTAGGGTAAAGAGGGGGCAGCGATATGGCAGCAAGGGGAAAGGGAATCCGGCAGGCTGGGGTAGGGGGAAGAAGGGCGGCGGGATGGCAGCAAGGGGGAGGGGATCTGGCGGGCTAAGGGGAGGGGAAATGGTGGGGTGATGGCCGGCGGCGAGCTAGCGGGTGGGAGGTGGAGTCTGCTAGAAGAAAAAGAAAAGGGGATGAGAGAAAATGAAGAACCAAGAACTCCCACGAAGGAGACTGTTAGGTAGTCCGTGTGAATCTCTCCTAGGCTACTCCTCTTCTCTAGAACTCACAAAGAGATCATAAGCAAAAACTGAAATTTTCATATCAATAATCACCATTTCATTACAAAGCTAAGAGACCTCGTTATATAGGCCTCAATAAAAGAAAAGCAGAAAGACACAAGTGCCCTCGGGACTACAATAACGACTCACTCCCCATAGGAGTAAACTAGGAAAATAGAAAATGCAAAAATAAATAAAATACAAAATATATCAAAAGTAAAGACTCTGGATCGTAGCCGTAGATCTACGACTCCGACGACGGTACACATGTCAAAATCTCTGACTGATGTCCTCATCAAGAATACCATAGGAGGATTAAAGTATAAGATGGTATAAATAAACTATTGAAATCAGAATAAAATGGATAAAGAAATTCATATAAAATAGATTAAAAAAACTCACAGGAGGTCCATAAATCAGCACATGTCCTGGGAGGGGTACATTAAATGTGTTCAATAATTTTAGAGAAGACGGAGACAAGAGCACTAACAACCCTGTGAGCAATACATTAAATATTTAAGATTATGAACTTTTAACCTAGACTAAATACTAAGGTAGACAAGATTGTAACTGAAAGGGATACCTACTATTAATAGCATCAGTGGCAGCTTTCTCCATCCAACTCAAAGAAGACAAGGTCAAATTAAACTTTCGGCCAAATCCACCTTCCAAAACAGAATCAAGATGAAGAGGATCTCCAAACTCAAGCTTTTCAGATATTAACCCCAGATCGTTTATGCTATGGACATCTTTGTTTCCAGCATTTAAGGTGAGTTCATAACTCTGCTTCAGCTCATCATGACAAGATTCATCAAATGTTGCAACTAAAAGGTACAGTAGCTCAAATGTACACTGTTCACTCTGCTTCTCCAAGTGTCCCTCAGAAAACAACATTTTCATTGATTTGGGTACTAAGTCATAATTTGTGATTTCAAAATGAAGTATAGTTTCCTTCGGCAAAGTAATTGACGTGAGCTCCATTTGGCTAGAATGCAATGCAAGCTCTTTTAGTTGTCCAATAAACCATGCTTGAATAAGAAACTTCTGATCCCATTTTGTATCCAGTCTCGAGACACCTTTTTTATCTCCATTCACACAAACTTTGTCAAATAGAGATTCAAGAAAATTTTCATGTTTCCCCAAGTCTGCCACATTCATATTCATCAAGGAAGATGGCCTGGTATCTGTGCTATTTCTCTTAAACTTTTGGCGACTCTCAAATACATTCAAATCGTCCTTATCAATGCTGTTATTCTTCCCAAAAAGTTGAAACCGGCAAGGGGAAAGGGTCAAAAAAGGGACATCCTTCATTGGATTATAATTATATTTCTTTATCCAGACCCCTGTCAAAAAGAACTTAACCAAAGTCTCTTAGAACATGGTAAGCTGAAATATAAATAGCCACCAAAGTGATCGTTTTCCAGCTAAATTTATAGGAAATAGCATAAAAGAATTGAAGCATAACATCAAACAATGATGCCAAAAAATGCCTTTTAAGCCAATAGCAGGAGACATCATGATAACAGAAGTGCCTCAAAGGTAGCAGCTCATTTTAGTAGTTGTCTTCACTCAATAAATTAGTACTCAACCTGTTAGAATAATTTGGTTCCCAGCAGATAACATGCACCACAACCCATCTAAAAAGGTTTCCTTTTAAGCACTCTAAAAGTAGCAGTTTGCACGTAACAGGAGTACAGTAGAAGAAGCTATGATGATAAAATCAGCTCAGCAATCACAAAAAATGGGACGGTCCATAAAAACAACTTAAACACTTATAAACTATCCTTATCAAGCACAACATAAAACAATGTAGATTGAACATATTACATGAGGCTCCTGTCAATGTGTCTAGACTCTATAGACAATTAGATGTGCATTTCCATGATTCAAACTACTAAGCTATAGGTAACAATACAAGCAAACAAAGCAGCCCATTAGGCCCAATGGAATAAGCTCTTATCAATTTCACATATAAAGCTATCGTAGTGTTAACATGTGATGTTGTTTAAAATAAAGATGCATGTTAATTGGAATAATTAACAAACAAAAATAAATTGTTCTCTCTCTTACATGAATGTATGGCAGCTCTTAGGAAAAGACGGATAGCCTTTGGAAGCATCATATGCCCTTTGGCAACTGTATCAGAATATAAAATTCGAAGAATTGTGTGTCGGGCTCTTCTTGTACTATTTGATGAATCCCTGGTATTCCCTTCACTATTGGCAAAATTACTTCCTCTCTGTGTAGCATCTTTCAAATTTTTCATTGCCTTAAGATGTGGTAATCTAGGCTCGATAACAACTAACTGAAGATTATCAAATGAAAGCTTTCTAGCTGTTTCTGGGTGTAAGTGAACAACAGAAGTGAGTACCACGCCAAACTCAACACCTCCGAACACTAATTTATGCACATGATTTCCCTCTGAAGCTTGAATGCGTAATATTGCCTTTGTCCCCTTTTTTTCATCTATTGAACAGTGGCTTTGTACCTCGGTACAAGCACCAACTCTATTCTTCCGACTTTTTGGTCTAACAGCAACCTCAGTACCTGGCATGAGTTGAACTAGGAAGCACTTAAAGTTAGAGAAAGTTATTGAAGTAAACAGATTACATATGATTCTAAGCATGTTAAAATAAAAGGTAGAATAATAAAAAAAAGGTAAAGAAAGACAATGTTAATGTGTTTAAGATAGAATAATTAGAAAAAATATTATTGTGTGAATAATAAAAATAATAAAGAAAGAAAATGGTTGTGTGAAGAATACAATAATCTTATTCATTCAAAATAGATACAAGCCAATATTTAGAGGTCTAGAAAGAGAACGGGAAACTAGCTATAATCAGAATTCCTTTTCTAGAAGACAATCTTCATTTCCTTCCATAGCATGAACCCGTGGGATCCTAATTTTATTCCTATGTGAGATCTTAATTTTCTTCCTTGACATAATTCTATGAGTTCCATCACTCAACCTCAAGCTAGTGAAAAAATATTTTTCATTCCTAGCTTGAATACAACTTGTTTGAAGCAATACAATGTTTAATCCCTTGGAAAGCACATCTACAAATTATATATCATTAGATAGACTAGCTTTCTTTAATGAATCGCTCAAACTCAATGCTTTGTTTGATGCATTCCACTAGATTATGAACTATGTCAATTGCAAGTTTATTGTCGCAATAAAGTCTCATTGTGTTGTTCCACTGAATCTTTAAATCCGCTTGTATGAATTTCAATCACAATAGTTCACAAACGCCCCAAATCATTGCGCAAAACTCTTCATCAGCATTGACCTTGTCACCAAACTTTGTTTCTTACTTTTGTATATTTTAAGGTTCTCACCAAGAAAAGTGCAATATCCATATATTGATATTTTATCCACAATAGACCTAGCATAAGTAATATTTTGTATGCCTCAATTACCAACTATGTGTATCTTTTGTACAAAATTCCCTTGTCTGGAGTTCCTTTCAAGAACTGAAATAATTGACTTAGTCTCTTAGATCACTGTGCAAAAACTAGCTGATCACATTAACAGCATAAGCTATATATGTGTGGGAGAGATGAATAAATATTTCCATCATGCATTGATACATCTCATTGTCCACCGCAGCATTCTCCCAACTTATCTAAGTTTGTGATTAAGATATATTGTTTTACATTATAATTTGCACGATAATTTTCTTCTAATAGGTCGATGACATATTTCTATTAATAGATAAATATTCGTTGCTTAAAATGTGCGTCATTAATTCCAATGCAACCTTCTAATGAGATTAACCTCAAATTCTTTGGTAAAACATTGTTGCAAAACTTATTTTTAGTCTTCATCATTCTCAGTTATAATTATATCATCAACCAACCCTACAAGGGCAATGACTCCCCCTGAGTTTGGAAAAATTATTCTGTGCGGACACCGAATGCAGCTATGTGTCCGAATGCCACAGTACCGAGCCGCGATATAGCAAAAGGGTGACGTGGCGCATTCTCATTGGTCACTAGACGACATTCGCGGTCCACACATAATATTTTTTCCTGAATTTGAATGCTTGGTGAAAAATATAAGATCTCCACAATTTATTTGTATTCCATGGATGGTGTCACCTTTCTAAACACTCAAATTTTTTCCCTTAGAGATTGCTTCAACCAATACAAGGCCTTTTTAGGTTGCAAAATTTATTAGTTCCATAATTTCTTCCAATTCATCAAACTCTTCTTGTAGTAATGCATTTTTGGCACCAAATTGTAGGAATTCCAAGCCATAATTAGCACACAAAGAATATAGAACTCTCATATTATTCATTTTGGAAACCAGGAGTAAATGCTTATTAATAATATGTCATATAAATGAGTATACTCTTTAGATAATAATAAAAATTCCTTTGTACCTCTCTAAGGATCTATTTGATTAGCATTTCACAATATAAATATATTTGAATAAAAACTCACAATAATCTCCCGACTATTAATAAATGTACAATTTAGTCCCAGAGTTTCTCATTGCCCCATTTTAATCCCTCGACTATTAGAAATTGAGCTAATTTAATCACAGGGCTTAAAATAAGAGTGAAAATTAACTCCAAAGTTAAATATGAAGATATTTTAGGTATTACAAATGAATATAAGATTACATTACTTACATTGATATAATTTATCATTTAATAAATTATCGTATAAAGTTTATTTAGTAGATAATAAGGATGAATAAATAGTGAAAAAATTTATATTTTTTTAAAAGCAAAACATAACATTGCTCTTCGTTACCATATTTAAATAATTTTTAATCTACTACATAATCTATAAAATTATTAAATATGGTAAAGAAGAGTATGATAGATTTTGCTTTAAAAAATATAATTTTTTCACTATTTATTTACCCTTATTATGCAGTAGATTAACTATATAATATATTTTATTAAATAATAAACTAGAGCAATGTAATCTCATATTATCTTATAATATCTAAAATACCATTCATATTTAACTTTGGAGTTAACTTTAACTCTTATTTTAGGATCTGGAACTAAATTGACTCAATTTTTAAAAGTAGAGTGACTAAAATGGAGCAATGCAAAATTCTGAGACTAAATTGGACATTTATCAATAGTCAGAACACTATTTTAAGCTTTTACTAAAATCTATTTGCATCCCATGATTCTTCTTCATCAGACTAAATTCATCAACTCCCCTGTCATGTTATTTTCTAAGGCTTTCATCATTGCATTGATAACTTCTTTCCAATTTTCACCGGATAAAACCTCAAATAACTTGGTAGGAATTGTATATTGTTTAGGCATGCAAAAGAACAACAATGAGATATAGAAAAAATTTTAAATGATGCAATATGAAAAAATGGATTCAAGAGGTGCTCATAAGTTCCCTGCCTAAAAGGCAATGGGAAGATTATGATATGGATTGTAGCCCAAATGAGTCTGCAAAGTAGAAATAAGACTATTACCACATTTTAAGAACTCTTTTTAGATCTCTAGACTAATGCAAGTTCAATAATAGAAGCTTTTTTTCTTGAGTGCCCTTTATCAAACTAGGGAAATCTCCCAACATGAGGCACCAGAGCTTTGAGGATGGCTTCATAATGTTCCAAATGAGGCATTGTATAGCATAAGACATTAAGTAGGAAGATCAACAAAAGAGAAACCCTTACATTCTTCCATGACTAGACTCACCCCTGGAAAATAAGGAATAGAAAAGTATGATCATGTTTAGGGAAAAGTAACATCAACTGAGATATACCTCTTAGGGGTGTCAAAACGGTGTAATGGGTCACGTTATGGTCAAACTCAAAATTAACCTAATCTTAATCCAATCTACCCAAAACCCAAACTGTTTAATAAAAGGATCGAAAAGGTGATCCCAAACCCGACTAGCTGGCAACCTGGATGACTTGAAACCGACCCAATAACCAATTTTGATCTTTTTTTTTTTTACTTTTCAATTATTGAGTTTAGATCAATTGATCAAAACTAAGATGAGCATATCATCAAGTGAAATTGTTTTAAGGAAAAATAATTCAAATGGGTCAAAATTGGGTTCACAAGTCCACCTGAACCCGATCTATCAGTTAAATGGGTCGGAATTCTAGACTCGAACCCAACACCTTTATTGAACGGTCAACCAGAACAAATTTTTTTCCAATTCAAGTCCAAGTCAGGTCATTTATTGAAACCTCTAATACATCTTGAAAGGTTTATAGTAGCACTTATTTCAGAGGACATATATCATACTCCTAAACAATATGCTAACACTTTATATATATATATATATATATATATATATATATATATATATGATAGCACTTCTATTGTGGTTTTTCCTACTTAGACTATGAACGCGAACAAAACTACACACTCAAAAATCTTAAGAATGAGATGAGTTGAAGTTCTTAGTTTAATATAGAATTCAAATAATATTTCCTTATGATTCTTGAAATTTAAAACTCTAGAAGGTAACCTATTTATAAGGTGTGTGGTTATTAGAACCGCTTCCAACTAGTAACATTTAGGCACATTATTTTGAAACAAAAATGCTCACGTTGTATCAAAGAAATGACTTTATTTTCTTTCAAGTACATTTTTTGGGAGTGTTTACATATGATAATCATGAAAAATACCTTTCTTTTGGAAGTTTGGACTCAAGATCTAGTTGAAATAATCCCTCGTCTTATCGGACCTAAACTGTTTGATTTTGAAACCAAAGTGATTTTGTCATAATATGAAATTTGTTAAGAACAAAGCTTAAATCAATCTTACTTTTTAGTACAAAAATCCAAGAAAATTCGATTCAATCATCAATAAATGAAGCAAAACAACATGCTTCCAAAACATTAAAAATACTAGAAAGACCCCTAAATACAAAAGGATTTGAGAAAATGAACTAAACTTCTTTTATGCTTGATGGAAGAGATGCACATTTGTGTTATACAAATTCATACACATCACACTAGAAAGTTTTAATATCAAATCCTTTACATGGAGAAGGAAACACAAGCTTAAGACTCTTAAATGATGGATGCCCTATAATAGAAGAAAAAGATAAGAGAGGAAAGTAAAGAAAAGAGAGGGTGAGCGAAAGCTAAGAAAAGCGAGAGAGAGAGAGAGAGAGAGAGAGAGAGAGAGAGAGCGAGAGAGAGAGAGAGAGAGAGATTGAGATAAAGGGATAACAGGGGGTGGATGCGAAGGATACCTACAACTTGGAGAGGATTGATGTGTGCAACATTCGAAGTAGGGGTGGTACCGGTCAAGAGACATCGTTTAATGGGCGACCAGTTTCGAGAGTTATGATGGTAGGTTGGTGAAATCAAGATATACATGGGGGATTAGGAGAAAACTTTACGTTGAGTTGACAATTTGACATGGATTCAAAAACAAAAAAAGATGTTTATATTTAGGGCTCCAAATGCAAGGATATAGCATCTATTTAAAATATTAAGGGACTATTTGGGGTAGCATTCTCATTGCTTTGTTTTTCAAAATGCTACTACACTTATGTTTTAATATTGCTTTCATGTGGCTTTTTCTAAATTTCTATGGCGAGAAGCTGATTTTTAC